GGGCGGAGCCCCTGCCTCCCTCACATCACCCTGCTTGGCCCTGTGATGGTCAGTTAGTCCAAGACCGGTAAGTTCTCTCACAAGAAGAGATTACCTTAAACAGACATCAGTCGGTATGGGCAGCAAGAGGACTTGGGGGACACGGAGAAAGGGCCAAAAGGCCCACACCCCCCAGCTTGGCGCAGACATGGCCGGAGTCCTCATTCTAGCTGAAAGAAGTCTCCTTATCTCTTGGTGGCTCTGCCCAACCCACCAGTCTCAGGCTTGAAACAATACTAAAGGCAGGTACAGCCCTAAATTGGATCAGGTGGTTCCTAAGGAAAATCAGGCCTAGAAGTAAAGTCCTCTAAGCCTGCTTTGTTCTTCCCTCAAAAGCAATGATAACCGGCTCATGCTGGGAAGGAGATTTACATTATTCAAAGACCTTGACCTGAGGCAGATGTCTTGTGTTCCTTCAATTGTTATCTATGATCTCTATTTGTTTTCTGTAAACATAGCCTTTTGACATTGACTGATGAGCTTTGCCATATACCCCTGAGCATATGGTTCCCAATGAAGGCCTCTGAACAAAGAGGCTTGGGCCTTCTCCACTAGAAGGAAAAGCCATGTCCCCACCCCTGGCAAACAGAGAAGAGTTTGAGACAACTCGTGTTTATTCCCTGCATCTGTGACAACCCCAGGACAGGCTCTGCAGGATTCAGAGTCCTGCTCCCTCCTCAGCCGGCTGCAGACAGTAACCCTCAGATCCAGGAGTGCCCTGCACAGCGCTCCCCACAATAGTTAGGAATTGATAATCCAGAGTCCCCCAGAACTATACCATTAAGTTCATACATTACAGGGTACTCCAGGAGCAAAAAAAAAGAAAAAAAAAAAGATAGAACAAGCACAGTGTGAGGAACGTGAATATAACTTAGGAACCCGTGACATTGTGTAGAAGAGGAAAAAGTTTTTCTCAATCCTTTTAAGGACTGAAAATTAAATGGACAATACAGATTAACAGGGGAAAAGCATACAAAAATATTTAATATAATACATGACATAGAGCCTTTGTAAAGAAATAACGACCCAAAGAAACCATTAGACCTGTGTGTTTTTATGCCACGTTTGATGAAGACTGGACAGTCATGAAAGAATATGACTAGTTAAGGAGCATTAGGTAATTGTAGTACACAGGGGAAAACTTAGCAAGGCCTTTTGTTTAGGATTCCCCTTAGTGTCCCTTTGTCTTCAAAGAAAAGGATGTATAGGGAGGGCAACTCTCACATGAGGGTTTTATGACCAGTTTCAGGGAAGGGCAAAGTGGGGAGGAGGTCAGAGTGACTTTCCCCTCCTACTATCTTCTTGGCCAAGGTGCCATGTTTCGGGTAGTGTGTCCTGAACTCAATTGGACAAAAAACCAAAAGAAGTTAAAAAAGGCCTTTCACAGGCTGTAAGCACAGTATTTTCTGTAAACACAGACCAGGTTCTGATTCAGCTCTGTAAGTAATGAAAAATCTACTGCAGCCTTCAAAGAAAGACTAACACCAATAGATAACATTCAGGAGTAGATACTGAAAGAGATGGGACCCTATCTTTCTAGTCACTTTCTGTGAAAAATTTTAAGGCAGAAATCCTGTAAACAGCTTCATTGCCAGACTTCTAGTGCTTGGAAAGAACCTGAGAAAAAAAAAGCAGAATAAGCCTCAGAATAAAATATGTCCTTCACATACATTAACTAGACACCTCCACCAAACTCAGTTAAACACTAGAAGAAAGAATCTCTTAATACATTTACAGATCCTATAAGTAGCAGGGCATTCAAAAAATAAGTGTCCTATATTGCCTTAAGAAATAAAATATAAAAAGTAAAGTGGGTGATGCATCAAAGTGTTCTAAGAAAGAAATCAAGCACCCAATTTCTGGTCTCACCCTGTAACTTAAAGATAAATTTCTCTAAATATTTAAGGACAACCTTGAAATTTTTACTGATAGATTCTACAGTATCAAGCTACTACTTCTTCATAACCTCCCCCTGTGTCACCAAACCACTCAGGTGTGACTAGGATCAATAACTCAAAACAGTTCTCAAATCCTAGCCCACAACTGTCCACGAAACATTCGTTCCTCCTCTGTGCTACGATATATGCTGGCTTAATAGGTAATGATTTACTATACAAATTCAATTGCCAGATAAATAATGATCATGGCCTCTTCCTTGAAATCACAGAACAGCCCCCTATTCATAATGAAGTTATGGCAAATTTTTGTCCAAATAGAAGATCTCAACGAGGTGATAGTCTTCTTCTTGGTAAAAATTCTACCTAGAGTTGCAGAATTAGTGAGTTGAACCCATCAAGGTTCAGAGTGACCCATCCAAAAACTTGACTCAAATTTGCCTAACAGCCTCAAAACCCAGGATTTATAGGGAACTGAAAACAATAGTCAAAAGTATATTAGAGGACTCCTCAAATCCTGTGCTGGTCCTCATAACATTCCAATCCTCCAAAAAAAAAAACTCAGTGAGTGGTTATAGTGTTATTCAGGAGCTTTAAAGACACTAGTCATTCCTACTTACTAGCAATACCGATCCTTTTAAATATATATATATATATATATATTTATTTATTTATTTATTTATTTTTAGAGAAAGGGATGGAGAAAGAGAGGGAGAGAAACATCAATGTGCAGTTGCCTCTCAAGTACCGCCAACTGGGGACCTGGCCCACAACCCAGGCATGTACCCTGACTAGAAATTGAACCTGTAACCCTTTGGTTTGCAGGGCCAGCACTCAATCCACTGACCCACACTAGCTAGGGCACAATGCTTAATACTACTTTATCTTCAGTGCCTGTGAAGGCAACATATTTTAGGTTCATGTTCTGCTTTCTTCAATATTCATTAGCTCAAAATAGTCAATTTTTGTTTGCCTTCTAGGAAAATCTGTAATATATATGAGATGTACCTCAGGGATTCCCTCAAACTTTTCACAGGTCCCATCCAAGACCTCAAGCCTTTAAGTTCCCTGCGATTCTGCTTTTATCTAATATGTGGATAACTTTTTGTTGTGCTCCAAAAGTGAGGCAGCCTCTAAGACTCCCCTCTTAGTAGAGACCACTCCATCTCTACTCCCTGGTTTAGCTCAGAAAGGGGTATAAGGTTTCCAATGAGAAGTGGTTATAATTTTGTCAAAGTAAAATGCATTATTTAGGATGTGATTTACACCAATGAGGTAAATCCCTTGCTCCTCACTACCAGCATTTAAAACTTAACATTAAATATCCTGAATCATGAAGTACCATTATTATTCCCTTATAATTTTCAATGCTTTATGTTTTTTCTCTGTGTTTTACAATTTTTTACTTGATCTTCCAGGCCACTAACTCAGATCTCAATCGCAGCTATTCTTTCTGTTATTTTCTGAACCATTCTATGGGGAAATCAATCTTCTTTTATAACTCCACAAAATATTGTGCTGCAACTGACTCTCCCAAAGTGCTCTCATTATCATCTCCTTGGGCCACTCTAGTTCTGGGAGCTCGTTGTTTTCCACGTTCTTCATCTTGCGTATCAGTTGTGATTTTCTTTCTCAGCTGACTGGAACTCAGCTTTGAGCTGGAGTACCCCAAGTGACAGCAGAACCACAAGAAGGTGCAAGTCTCTACCCCAAGGGTAGAGTAGATACTGTTACCAGCTTGCCATTCCTTCCTTTAATAGAATTATACATTTAATGCCCTCTGTTGCAGAGCTTCTCACTGTGAATAATGTATACCTCCCAGTCCCAGTGGTGTAGGATTAACAGTGTGCTAATTCCAAGTGAAGACGTTAAGAGATGATATATGTGTGTTTCTGCTCTCCCCGTTGTCCTTCTGCCATCTGCCATGAGAGATACCTACTCTAATTTGTCCTGGTCTCAAAATGAAAAACAAGTAGACCTGAACTCAGTCCAACAGCCTAAGCTGTCCCAACTAATCCACGGATCCATGAATGAGGAAAGTAAATATCGATTTTGAAAGTCACAGAGATTTTGAGATTGATTGTTACAGAGCATCCTGGCAGTGCTCTGTAACAATCACACACACACACACACACACACACACACACACACACACACACACACACACACACACACACCCTCCCCCCCATACAAAAATAAGCCAGATCAATATGAATAATGTGAGAACCAACAGGTTCCTAATACCTCGATAATACACTAAAACCAAACAGCTACCCTCTTTGAAATATCCTTGCATTCTTCTATCATCACATGTAAAAACAATTTCACCATCCTTTTTAGTTCATCCCTGGTCCCCGGGGAGGCCAGACAGACCAGGCAAGTTTTGACTAACAGGGAATCCATAGATCTGCAGAGCCACTCCTCTTCCCAAGAGTATCCCCATCTCAACCCCTGTCCCAAGGGCTTTTCTAGTCTGGTGTCTGGTTCTTGGCCAGTCCTTAAGACAGAAAGTCCTACAAATGCTATGTCAGTAGGGGCAAGAGCATCCAGTCCCCCTTTCCATGTGGATTATCTAAAGCCCCACTACTCCAGCAGTTACTAGGGTCCACAAAGGAAGCAGACTGAATTTCAGAATAAAAAGGGTAGAATGATTTATTCAGAAGGTCATGATTTTCCCAGAATTGATCTTTTTAAAATATTTATCAACTTAATAATTTTTTATGGATATTTCACAAGCCAAATGTATTTCTTTTTGGAATCAAAATGAGAAAAAGGGAGAAAAACTGTGTGTGTGTGTATATAGGGGAAAATAGGCGAAATCCTATCTACTACTTATTTTATGGTATAGGAATACAATATTATTGGATCATACAGAATTATGTCTAAGACCTACAAAATCAGATTTTAAATATTTACATAAATTTGCAATGAACTATTTAACATCACTTAAGATTGATTCTCAGTCTAAAAGTCTTCCTCCATTGAGATTAGGAAGTCTGTAACAAATATCAAATTGGCTTATAGTCAAATATATGCCTCTGAAGGTTCAATACTGTCCTCACTTACCATTTTCAAGAGGTGCATCCTCAGGCAGATCCACATCAAGCATAAGGTCATCATCCTCAAGGTCACATGATTCAAGATTATTCAGAATATCCTGTGAACAAAAGCAGTAAAAATGCTATAACCTAGCTCAAGGATGTGTGTAATCATTAGATCTAAATAGAAACATGGCTATGTGATAATCTGAATTTACTCAACGTTTGTGTTGTAAAAGCAGATTTTACAGATAAAATTTCTTAAATAAAAAAGTAGACTCAACTGGTTTACCTGATTAAGCTATTTGTAACATTATTCTCCTAAGTCTTCCTCCCCACCAGATTTTTATTTTCAAAAACTTACAAACTGCGAGACATTGTTCTAAGCACATTCAAATATTCATTTATTTTTCAACATAACCCTGTGATTTCATGACTTGTACAATTCCCATATTGTATATGATGACTTTAATGCACAGAGAGCCTAAATGACCTGGCCAAAACAGGATATGACATAGGATAACATGAATAATCCAAAATAATAAAACATCTCCGAAAATTCATTCATATTTGGTATGGGAGGTTTTGTTGTATTATCTCTAAGGACTGGATAATTTATGTAAAAATAACAAAATAATCCTTTAAGGATGTTATTATTCCACTTCTTTCTTGTGCCAAACCTACCTACCTACTACTACCTTCAGTACTGATACTAACTCCTTGGTTTGCCTTAATTCATTCAGAGTAGTCAAACTGCTATTAGCAGCCCTTCCTGTGTTTTATTTGCAACCTTGCTAGCTATCATCTATCCCAAGAAAAGTAATGTTTTGCCCTGGCTGGGTGGCTCAGTTGGTTGGAGTGTCATTCTGTACACAAAAAGGTTGTGGGTTCGATCCCTGGTCAGGGCACATATGGGAAGCAAATCATCAATGTTTCCCTCTCACACTGATTTCTTTGTTCCCTTCTCTCCCTTCCCCTCTCCCTTGCTTCCTTCCTTCCCCCTCTCCTTCCCTCCCTCCTCCCTTCCTTTCTCTCTAAGTCAATAAACGTATCCTGGGATAAGGATTGAAAAAAGAAAGTAATGTTTTTGCTTTCAAACATTCTTGTTCTAAAGTCTAAATAACTAAATAAAAAAAAATTAAAGTCTACTAGTGGGTTCCTTCTAATCCAAGAACTGATTCAATACTATAATACCTTTTCTCTGTGTGTGTGTGTGTGTGTGTGTGTAATATATTTATACCTATATACATGTAAGAAGATAAAAAATCCACAAATTTTTAAGGGATTTAGAAAGTATGGCCTTGAAAAACTTATAGAAGAGGAATACTAACTTTGTTACAGATAATATGAATGAATTAGATTGTTCCCTAAATCAGGTATTCCAACCAAATCTTTTTAATTTTGTGTTGCTGGACCTTCCTTCCAGGATCCACACACAGTTATTTATTTATTGAGAAATAAGATAACTGTAATTATAAAAAAGCTCAGGATAATTATTAATCTTGGCAGGAAAAAAACTACTTCATAAAACCTCTTTAGAATCATGAAAAACTTGCTATCCTTAATATAGTCTACTTAAAAATCAAGAAAAAAGATGAACACGAAAAAATTGACAAAGGCTATGATGGACAGATCACAAAATAAATATAAAATAATTGGCCAATAAATATGATGTAGGAAAGGATGCTAACACCAGGTGACTTATGGTTGAGAGGAATCTAATACTCATCTATAATTCAGATAGCATTAGATTCATATAAACTTTCTAGAGGCCAATACATCAAAATTTAGCTAAAATCTTTTTTAAAAAGGTAAATTTTTCCTTCCTAAGAGTTTATGCCTTAGAAATAAACAAATGCAGAAAATTATATGAGTAAAGTATGCAGCATTGTTTAGGTGGTAAAAAAGGAGAAACTAGCCTAAAAGCCCAACAATCGAAAAGTTAAACCAAAAATGTGATATAATCATACAACAGAATATTATGTTGTTATTTTTTAAAAATAATGAATATATTTACAGACATGAAAAGATGTTAATTGGGGAGAAAAAAAACAGACTGGGTTGTTTCTAATCTTTTGCTCTTAAAAATATGTTTCAATAAATTCTTATAAATCAAAAAGTAAATTGAAATCAATGAAACTAATTGTGTATCATGTTGATGGCATAACACTCAAAAACTATCTCAAGTAGGGGGATACTGTTTTCAGTAATTATAATATGGATGGTAGTACTGATGTTATTATTTTGAGATGGTTGTGTATGGGTGTAAATGAAAAAAATTGTATTGGTGTTTGCTGAAAAATAGATTCTCTTCTTAGGAAAAAGGAAATTAAAATGTAAAAAACAGTGAAAATAAATAAAATCGCTATGTTCCTGAATATAAGTGGGAAGTATCAGTATGAATACAAGGTGGTTTTCATGTTAAAAGAAAAAATAATTTTTTCCACAGAAAAGGCCTAGATGTTAACTGAAAAAAAAAATCTCTAAATACTACGTGTTAATTATCATAAAATTATCTGTTTTATGAATTAAAAAAACACTGTGTGATATGCATAGAAAAAACTTGGAAGGAAGTCTGGTCTGTGTGGCTCAGTTGGTGGAAGCATCGTCCCACAGATCAAAGGGTTGCAGGTTTGATTCCTAGTCAGGGCATGTGGGTTCAGTTCCCAGCTGGAGTGTGTGCAGGAGGCTACCAATCGATGTTTCTCTCACACATCAATGTTTCTCTCTCTCCCTCTCTTTCTCCCTCCCTTCCCTTCTCTTAAAAAGAAAGAAAGAAAAAGAAGTGGGGGAGGAGGAGAGGAAGGAAGGAAGGAGGGAGAGAAGGAAGGCAGGAAGGCAGGCAGAAGATTAAAAAAAATGGAAATATATTTAAATATTTAAATATCAAAGAAATTTTTATAATTTTCCATTATGGGAGAAATATGTGCTTATGCTCTTTATATCCTTATTGTTTTTTCTGTAATATGGACATAGTGCTTTTATAATAAGCAAAACCATGTTAGTAAAAGTCTACCTACCTTTGCATCTACAGGAAAGTTCCAACCACACAAATCTAGCCTGCTTGTGGGAACCCTCAACCCAGCCATCTAACAACAATAAAAACTAGAGCTACCTGCTCCTCCTGCCTTCACTCAAGCCATACTGGACTGGTTTGGGTGCCTGCCATGCTCTTCCCAGAAAATCCTATTATCTGAGTAATAAATCTTTTCATACCCTGACAGTACATTTGCAGCATCCAAAAAAATTTGAGGGGAAGGGAGTTGACCCTGCGCCTTCATATGGCAACCAAAGACACATTATCAATAACTCAACACAAATAAAAAGCAGTATATGTAAGGGACAATTCTGGACACGGGATATAAGCATGTAAAGACAATCCCTATTTTTGTTGAGAGTGTAACTAAACTACTCCATGATACTGCTGCGTTGGCATCCATTCTGTGTAGCCAAGTGAGAATGAAGAATAAGCAGTGATGAGACATACTGAGGATTAGGGTCTATAGAATCAAAATTAAATGAGAAGTGAAAAAAGGACTTAAGAATGACTCCCTAGTTCCTGGCTTGAGAAACAGATGATTATTTTTCACTGAATTAAAGTATAAAAAAAGAAATACCAGAGGTAGAAGAATAAAAAATTTATATAATTTTAAAACCTGATAATTTTGACATGACTGTTGCCTCTCTAAGAAGACATGTCCAGCAGATAATTGAATATATAGCAGTGTGGAGTAGACCAGAGAGATTTGAGGTGTGGGAGTCATCATCACCACATTAATGACAACTGAAAGATGTTAAGCAGTATGAATTAGACAAGAGAGATGGTACAGAGTGAGAAGACTGGCTTCTAATATCTGTCTTAGACAATCTTTACCCTATTCATCTTTACAGAAGGCCTATGTTTCTCCAACATCAGATTTTGAGAAGTTATATCAGAGATAGGATTAAACCTTTCAGGGTCCAGTCGAAGAGAAAAGGAAAAACATAATCTGAATTGTGGTGATTGCTGGGGCAAGGAGGGAATAAGGGGACTAAATGGTAACGGAAAAAAAAACACAATAAAGATTAAATTAAAAAATAATGTTATAATTTTTATTCACCAGTCATCTGCACAGGCTACAAATAGCATTATTACAGGTAGAAAGGCTACCATGTTGTATCGAGATTGATTAACGTGGTAAAGACTTTTTTCCATTTATCATGGTAGATTCTTTCAATAACTGGCGGCCAGCTCTTGTTGGCAGCCAACATCCACATACACCTCTTTTAATTGAAAGACCATCCAGCATAACCACTAGCTGGGAGTATGACAATGTAAACCTAAATCTGTGTACTCACTGGGTTCCAGAGGCTCCCACAAGCCTCAGAGAATTAAAACTCTGAGCACATGTTAGCAGAATTGTCAAAGAACTCCCTTGGTCTCTGAGAATGCTCTTCCATTCAAACAGAGTGAACTATGAGATAGTGGGCCAGTACTTTCTTCGAGTTTTGCTTTCACTAAAAAATGGAGATAATCTAAATGGTTTTGACAAATGAACGGCATAATTACCAGTTTGTTTTAATTATCATGTAGTAAAAGTAATTTTTTATTTTGGTATCAGTTTATATAAGTTTGTGTAAACATCAACACAGTCAGGACAGAGAAATTTCTTCACTCTAAAAAACTCCCTTGTACTATCCAGTTATTGTCACACTCTCTACCCACCTGTAACCACTGGCAAATACTGCTCTGTTGTCCATCATAGTTTTATCTTTAAGAATGTCACATAAATGGAATAATTTTTGAGACTGGCTTCTTTCACTCAGCAGGATATCTTTAAGAGTCATCTAAGTCATTGAATATGTTAATAATTCATTACTTTTTACTTCTGAGTAGTAGTATTCCATTGCAGGATGGATGTACCAGTCCTTTACTTCAATGTCCTTTACTCATTGAAGGACACTGTGGTTTTTACAGTTTTTACCTACTTAAAATAAAGCTACTATTAGTATTCATGTAGACATTTTGGTGAGAATTTAAGTTTTCATTTCTCTAGGGTAAATTCTCAGGAGTGAGACTGCTGGTTGATATATTGAGTACATGTTTAATTTTATAAGAAACTACTAAACCATGTCCTGA